ACACCTTCCGCAAGAAGAGCTTGCACGCACATATCGGCATGCGTCATCAGGAGGCGACTCTTCCTAGCCAATCGTCACTGTGGTGATAGAGCGTCACTTCCGCCCTAGTGTTGGAGAGCCTGTAGAGTATCACTTCCCTTTCTCCGTCCCGGAGCTGGTGGCCTGCAGTGCGGGGGGAGGGCGTCAGTAGTACCCGAGGCTGCCGGGCCGCTCTGCCCTGCCGGGCAGCCTGGCCTGGTCTGAGGCTTCTCGCGGTGCTCTCAGAAAGACGTGGGTGTACTGGGGTGTTCTACTGATGTCGATCTAAAGGGGGTTTCTTGTTTTCCTACGCCTATGGTAGAAGCCATTTAGTTCGCGGTGGCCTGCAGTGCGGGGGGAGGGCGTCAGTAGTACCCGAGGCTGCCGGGCCGCTCTGCCCTGCCGGGCAGCCTGGCCTGGTCTGAGGCTTCTCGCGGTGCTCTCAGAAAGACGTGGGTGTACTGGGGTGTTCTACTGATGTCGATCTAAAGGGGGTTTCTTGTTTTCCTACGCCTATGGTAGAAGCCATTTAGTTCGCTCAGGTTATGAAAACACTTGGAGTCATAAAGGGGTATAAAATAACTTTTAATCTTTCTTTAAAGTCTAATGTCTTTAGGCTATAAAGTAATCTTCAGTTCGTTCCTGTCTTGGTATAAATACGGTTGGTTGTAACCAGACTCATATTTGGAAGGTCACTTAGATGAAACTTCTACTGGCTTCATTGTGGTATTCAGTTTAATAACCACGTGATAAATGTAAATGGAGGATTTGATCAACAAGATTTGTGACAGCAGTAAGATTGATACTTCACCAAGGTTTTGACTGTGAAAACCAAATGTCATAAGGTTAAATGAACCCAAGATTGGTGTATTTTTATGCATCACTTCACTAGAATGTTGTTAACTTACTTACATATGTTCCGTTGCAGGTTGTTTAAACATCCGTATCTCTTTAGATGCGGCTTGGCTGGTTGGAACTGCTCTTGCCTAGAAATTATGAAGAAACATTTTGCATAAGGCTTTAACATGACTGAGGCCATGGCATCTTCAACAAACTTAGACGTTGGGGCCCAGTTAATTGTGGAAGAATGTACCACTAGCTACAGCCTTCCGCCCATGCCGGACATTAAAGTGGAGCATCAGGTTGATTCTAGCACAGAAGAAGGCCCAGCTCAGAGTGTCACTATGGGAATGAAATTCATTTTGCCCAGTCGATTCGATATGAACGTCTGCTCACGATTTGTGAAATCCTTGAATGAGGAGGACAGTAAAAATATTCAAGACCAAGTTAACTCTGACCTTGAAGTGGCATCTGTCTTATTTAAAGGTCAAACTTTATGGTACAAATTGTTATGTGTGGACTGTGTCATCCTGTTAAGCTGTTTTGTTTTTATAAAAAAAAAAGCCTCTGCCTTATTGTTTTCTATAAGTAACAGTTACTTTCTGTAAGTAACAGTTTTCTAAGATTTGTTCCCCTAATACCTTTATTATATGCATATTGGATTATTAATGTAAAATTAATTTCCTCTGAGATTATTTTTTAAATCACATTTTAATTATTTTTTTTAGTTGGCATAGTAGTGACACAAAATGTCTGTAATTTAAGGTAGTAAGAGCTGATACTGATCATGAAAACAAGCTTTTTTCTTTTGTGTAGCATGTTCTACAATATGCTACACACTGTTCTATGTGTGTGTGTCTACAAAACCCTACTGGAAGCACTGTCTCATCATTTCAACTTCATTAGCTTTCTGCAATATATTTTATCTTTTCACAAATACGATGACAAAATAACATAGGTCATGCAGTTGACTTTGTTTTATTAGCATGTCTGTACGAAGTCTGTAGTTGGAGTGTTTGACTTGCCAGTTCAGCTTTGCACTATGTGGAAGTGAATGTTGCAGCAGTTCTAGATACCTGCAGCTAATCTCCAGCCATTGCTGGGTAGCTTCATCAAAAGTGATCTGTGCTTTTTTATGGCTGAGCTTATCAATAGAGAACATAATTAGGACTTGCATCTGTTTCCCCTCAATAATTGTGGATTCCAGTGCTCACTGTAATTTTTCAGCCTGATGGTCATGTATCTTTTCATGAGGTTGAATTTGTCCTATTCCTATAACAAATACAAATGCAGACCTATTGTAGATTTTTATGATCTCTCTGATTTGTATTGTTCGGCTGCAGTTCAGCCACTGTAATTTTCAAATTTTTTTGATTTGCAGGCCCTAAGTGCTTACTAGTGGAGCTGCAGACCTGAATGGGAAATTTAGACCCATCAGCAGTAGGGTTGTTTTTCTTAGGTAACATTTGTGAACCCTTTAGAAGTAGTCTTGCGAATCCAGGGACCGCAGGTCAAAAATCCCTGGTAGGTCTCCTAATTTGATCACATCAGCTGTAGCTATTTGATTGGCAAACAAAATGTAATTTCATTTTCATCCCGTTGCCTTCTACTTGTAATTGATCCTCTCCCTGAATTTGTGCTTGGGTCTATAATCATGAAGTTCTCTATGGTGTGAATTCAGTGTGCTTGTTAATTAGCTTCCAGTCATTAATTATTAGTGCACACTGGGGTCAAATCAGTTTAGCCAATAATGAAGTTTAATCCTTCAATATGTTTTTCCAGTATTTAATCAGTTGACTTCTTAGAAATTCTTTAGCTACCTCTCAAAGCTGATTTTGAGGATTATAAGCCAAGATAACACACATATTTTGTAATAACATGCCATTATATTCTAATAGAAAGCTAGAAAAGTTAATACAAATGAACACAGCAGCACTGAATGACTTCTTGAATTCTAAGTGGTGACCTGCTGTTGCATCTCACGTAAGTTAGTGTAGAGTATCTCTCTTCCTGCTGGATGAGTGTTCATAAGGCAGTCATAATGCAGTTACAATTTTATCCTACTAGAGTGGAAAAAGTCCTGGTGGAGGAGATTAGTGGTTGTCTCCACCCATGCAGTGGACTGGTTAGAGAGTGGACAAAGGGATGAGCTGACTACATGGCTGACCAAACCTGCATCATGTTACTGCACTGGAGAGTGTTAGTGAGGGTGTGAGAGTCTAAGTGGAGCCATCCTACCTAATAAATCCATGCCAGGCACATTGAAAATCTAAACAAAGCCTTATTTAGACACTAACTTGTCTGTGGGTGACATTGCACCATACTGGACATATGGGGTAGCAGCATTGTTCTATGCTAGAAATTAAAACAGGCCTTATTCAACTCTCACAATACACAATGGAAAAAGCACATGTCACAAAGCTTAATTAACATGGGTTTTAAAGATCTTGTGATATTGGTGCTTTCTAGCTTAACTTAGAATCTGTGGCTTGCTTTTAGTGCCCTTACTAGTACTAAAATCCTGTCTGTTTTCTCTGTTCAATGTAGCTGAATGCAACATCCACACTTCTCCTTCCCCTGGTATCCAAGTAAGACATGTTTATACTCCATCAACTACTAAGCATTTCTCACCAATAAAACAATCAACTACCCTAACTAACAAACACAGGGGAAATGAAGTCTCTACAACACCTCTGCTTGTAAACTGTAAGTATTCTCCTGTCTTACTGTTAGTAATTATTTTGTGAGCTGTATGTTAGATGCTTGACAGATTTTTTCAGATTTTTTTGTTTGATGCTGTCATAATCTTCAACACAGGAAGAAAATACTGAGATAGCCTCGTGTAATTTCACATGGTTCCAGCCATAAAATAGTTATCCACCTGCTGTGTTGAATTCCCAACTGAAGTATATTTTCTGGAAAAGATCCAATTCTTGATTTTAAAAAAATATAGGTGAAGATTTTTCTGATCCTTTCTAAGCTTTAAGTTAATGTGCTTCATATACTTGTTTTCAGAACTTGTGTATTTTGTAAAATTTACTGAAATTAGGTGATTGGTAAATGCTACAGATTACTGCAGATATCATGATTGTCTATTATGGGGGTTTGTTATTCTTAATTGTCAAGCATTTTCTTTGTAAATTAATTATGTGTAATTTACTTCATCTACGGATCACTTCCTCTGTAAATTATAAGTCCAATGTTTTTTAAAAAAGGCTTTTTGCATGGGAAAAATCAATCTGGAGCTGCTACATAGGCCACTGAACAAGATACACAATCTTTCTGAAAAAAAAAAAAAATCAAACTTTCATGTAGTGAATAGGAAGAGGACAGTGAACATTTACATAATACGTAATCATTAGCTAATTTTGTTATTATGTAATGTAGATAATGTACACCTTTCAGATTTGTTCCAAGTTGTAATTGTCAAAACTGTCCACCTGTGCAGTTTACTGTGGGAGGTTTTTTTTCTTCATAATCCCTTAAGAATTATTCTTTTAATACTTGGTACTTTTTATTACAAATAAATAAATCAGAATAATTTCCTTCACCTGTAGATGTCACATTCTGTACAGTTTCATAATGTCTGATCTGTTGCACATTGCAGTGAGTGAGGAGTCATGCTACAGGCTTTATTAAGCAACATGACAGGTCTCCTGATGGCATGTGATCTTAGATGTAATTTTTAAACTGCACAGCCTTAATTTATCAAAGCATGCTTATTCTCATTTGATAAACGTTCTTTGTTATCTTGGGTTACTGACCAAGCAGCAGAGAAGAAAGCATGTTGCCTTGCAAAGAGTCAGTGTAGAAAGTATCTTTGCATTCTAGTATGATTTATAGATTGGTTTAAAAATTACCTGAACCTATGAAACTCTTTGGAAACTTTTCAGTTTCTAAGATAGTGATTCCAGTTCAGAGTGTAAGATGAAAACCTATCTACACTCTCAAATCCAAGTTCTGTGCTGATCAAGTCAATGGACGTGTAATGCCCAACTCCAAATAGGGCAGAACAAAAATTGGTGTAACACATGCTTTTTCTTCCCTTTTTGCAGCTTTATCAGTTCATCAGCTTGCTGCTCAGGGAGAAATGTTATATTTGGCCACACGTATTGAACAAGGTAAGACAGAGGGAAGTTAAATGCCTTCCTTTTTTCTCTGAGGCATTTATACCCTTGTGTGCTTAACTTTTCCCCCAAGGCTATATTTTAAAAAATCCTCAATTCTAGCACAAATTGAAGGATATTTGAGGTAATTGTTCTCTGTGGATATGGACTGTTGTTTCACATCAGTCTTTCATTCATTGCTGTGGTTAGGGTTTTAAATTAATTCGCATTAATAAAAGTCATAGGTAAATCCCTTCCTTCCGCTGCTCCCCAGCTGTATAGGTAATCCATGGAAATTATAAGGGAGAATCTGTTAGTTATATCAGAAGAGTTCTGGGGGCTTTTTTTTCATGTGCATGAAAAGCAAATTGATACTGGGGTGTCAGTAACAGTTAAAAATGTGTATTATGGTGCTATGATAAGCATGGGATTTTTTTTAAGATAGTAAAGACATCTGTTTTTTTAGGTATAAAAAAAAAATCCAACTCGACTATTTCAGTTACCCAATTGTTAAAAAAATAGTTCTTTTTCCTTCTCCAACTCCACTAGAAGTAGACATTCATTGTTTTCACAAAACACCCTATTGATGACATGAACTCTAGGGAGAATGGAATTATACTATCTGTATTGCTTTGCAAGCTAATTCTTTACAAGATTGTGTCACACTCAATTGAAGAAAAACACTTTCTACAGTATAATACAGAATGTACCTCTATCTTCTTTGCAAAGATAAAGCCCAGATTACAGACAATTTGTAACATTTCAGAGTAAAAATAGAGCTTGATTTTTATAGCTTAAAAAAACCAAATAAACCCAACTCTTAAATTTTAATTGGTCAGTTGGATGTTTTTTTCTTTCTTGGGCTAAGATACTTGCACCAACACTGGGACAGAATTTTGTTTTTAAAGTTAAGATAAGAATGACCTTTAGGATACACTGGTAGCTTGGTCCATTCACCATGGATACGTCAACGTATTTCACCAGTTCACATAGTGCATTAGTGAAAGGGATTACTAAATTGCATGTTTTTCTTCAAACAGAAAATGTAATCAATCATAAGGATGAAGAAGGATTTACCCCTCTGATGTGGGCTGCAGCTCATGGACAGATAGCAGTAGTGGAATTTCTCCTCCAGAATGTAAGGAAAAAGAACATACCTCATTTTTCATCTCTTCATTAGTTCATTTACTACATTTACTTTTTGGTTCAATTTGCCTTCCTAAGTTTGTCAATGCTGCTATACAATTGAAAGTTTTGAAGTTAAGTTCTGTGTAAAACCTTACTTTTTAAAAAAAAAGCATGATAATTTTTTTATGATTAATATTTCAGGGTGCAGATCCTCAGATTTTGGGGAAAGGGCGAGAAAGTGCCCTCTCACTGGCTTGCAGTAAAGGATACACAGATATTGTCAAGATGCTGCTTGACTGTGGAGTTGATGTCAATGAGTATGACTGGGTAAGATTCTAGATTGCATTTTTGTCACAGGGTGCTTTGGTCAAAAGTTTGAAACAGCACAGCAGTGGCATGGGTTTGAGAATCATTCTACCTCTTCTGAAATATCTGAGAGTTTCAGAACTTCCATAGCATAAGAGAAGTTGCTCTTACTAGTTCTGACTTACTGGTAAAAAGAGAATGAGACTAATGCTGGGCCCTTGTAGGAGGGTGAGCTTACGGTCTTAACAGTAAACAAAAAAGTATGGACGTTGTGAAGAACCAAAACAGAACTTCATTTTTATAAAACCTGTGACTTCTTACTGGTACATAGAAGTATGCTGCTATGTTAAGGAATTACAGTTGCAGACTGCTCAGTCATTAAGTGTCTAAGGCTTTTCCCTGCTCTTGCAGAATGGAGGCACACCTTTACTATATGCAGTACATGGAAACCATGTGAAATGTGTAAAAATTCTCCTTGGTAAGTAGACTGTCCTAACTGAACTAAGTCATAAAGTACTATCAGTTTGCCTTGTCAGAAATATGAGCTTCTTTTCCTGTTTTACATAGAAAGTGGTGCTGATCCAACTATTGAAACAGATGCTGGCTATAATTCCATGGATTTGGCTGTAGCCTTGGGCTATCGGAGTGGTGAGTATTGCAAATGTAAACTCTTTTAAGTTTTACTGCTCCTTGTTTATGTCACTGCTGTAATGGCCTAGTAGAGGTTTTGCAGCTGTAAGAACCCTGTCCTAAAAGTCTTAATACACTTAAACGTACCAGCCCAAAATGGGTAAGAGTTTCTGCCCCTTTCTCAGCAAGCCAGGCACCCAGTAAGAAAATGTCACTGACTTGATCTGCGTCTGTGGGCACAAATAATGGTGTGTAGGGCTGATGCAGCCGTGATCCAAACACGGGGAGCTGAGCTGCTCCCCCTCCCTGTACAAAGGAGTGTTTGTTGCACTGGACAATAAGAGGCCTACAGCCCTCCTGAACCCCTCACCCTGATGCTCTGTTGATTAACATGATGTGATGTAGTTTGCAAAACCATTTTCTCCTGTTAGACTACTTCTAGCTCTATTTTTTACTGGAGGCAGACAATAATATTGCCAGGATTAGTCAATTAGGCTACCTTACTTGGTTCTGGAAAACAGAGGCAAAGAAGGATTTTCAGTTGGTTTTCCTTCATGCTGCCTTCAGTTGGAAAGCTGTGAAATATATGCCATTACAGATACTAACTGAATCCAAAAAATATGCCCAGTACTTCACGTGTAGCTTCTCCAAGCAGAGGCCTATGCTAATGGGTGGGCAGTAGCTTCACAGATCACAGAATCATTAAGATTGGAAGAGACCTCTAAGATCATCAAGTCCAACCGTAATGTCTAGTCCAATCTAGATGTCTAGATATAAGACTACTTCAAGATTTCAATCTCAAAATGTTACACAGAAGTAGTTTCTAGTAAACATGTTTGCGTACTTTTCATTTATAGGCTTAAAATTTTCTTCCTTATGCTATCTGACTATTCAAACCAGAGAACAGATCATCACCTCTAAAAACCTTAGTCTACCTTACTGGGTGTATTGTTTTTGCATTATATGACTCTTTTATTTTCTGAAAGGATGCAAACTCTCTTCCCAGGGTTAATTTGTTCCTGTTTGTTACTAAATTATTATTTTTATGGCCCAGTCAGCATGGATTCAGGAAGGGTAG